GGCGGTTGACAAATCTTTTTCCCTCTTGTTTTGGGGTTGAAAAAAAAGCAGTTTTGGAAAGGGGTAGATTTAGAGTAGTATTCGATTACAAGCGCACCCCTGCGCTGCCTGTGTCCGAGACTGAGAGGAGGGGAGAATGCTAAAGTTCCTTTTTCTTATCAGCAGAAGGAAGGAGGGTTGGGTAACCACGTTACTGTGTTAAAGTAACAACAACACAAGCCGGAACAGTAATACCTAGAAAATTAATTAAATAATCACTGAATAATGATGAAACTTACACTACTGAAGTCCTAGTGCTTTGCTGTAACTGCAGATACAAAAAAATCTCTTGTAAGGCTTGTGGTCGAGTGCAGTGAAAGAGTCTCTTAGTGTATTACGAATTAGTGCATCTTTGAGTTTGATTTTAGAGTGTGTTGAGCTCCGGGAACGACTGAACAGAGGAGTCGGGAGCTGTACTTTAGTATATCATCGAGTGCATTGCGAGTTGTAGCGTGGAGAGTCCTGAGAGTATGTGGAGTTCCGAGAACGACCAAGCAGAGTTGGGAGCTGTACTCTGGTCCTTTGCAGTGAAGCTGTCTCCACCCTTATAGCCAGATAACCTGGAAACTGTGACGCTGAACGTTTCAGTGTGTTTATAGTAGTTCTTCGATGACTGTAAACATGTTACTGGAACTGTCTTGAACAACACTGGCCAATAAAGTGTGTTTTACAACTTTATCAAGTGTTGTCAGTATTCACTCCAAATCCACGAACCCCGTACTAATGTGAAGAAAGAAAAAAAATGTCAAGGCACTGCAAGTCTATCTAAAACTATCTCTTTTCTGTAATACATACTGAAATGTACTAAGTAAAATTAGACGCAAGCCTCACATCCATTTCCTTCTAGGGATCTGATATCTTATTTTTCAACAGGCAAAACAGTAACTAAGCCTTCAGTGTAACAGCACAAGTAAGAAAATATGACAGAGAATACTGAAAATGCAATGAAAATTAAGATAAATAAGCAAATATTGAAAGATAATGTTGGTGTTCCATAATTTGTAAGTAAATCCAGTAAAGTATTCATGAAAGATTACAAAACATGACCTTTTACATAAAATATGTTTCTTAAAAACTTTAATATATACTCAAATATTTACAAATGATAGCACATAAACATTTCATATTTTTTCTCTTAACTAGGAAAGAAATAAAAAATATAGACTTAACTCTATTACATACTTTTAATAATCAGTATTTCACAGCAAAAAACTGATTGCAAACAGTTGAAAATTTCACTTGATTAAAATAATACTTTTGTTAAGCTTTCCATGTAATAGAAATTAATAGTATGATAAATGTCTATTCATAATGATTAAGAATTAGTACTGATATGCAAAATTAAGATCATAACACCATATTTATTCATGGATGTTTCCTTCCTTTTTAATTTCTCAACTTGAAAATTGACAAGATAAAATTATATGGTGTATACAGTTTTTGCATGAAGGCAAAGGTTGAAGGAAAGGTTAGTACCTACTTAGTAACTGCATCTTTATGCAGTTACTAAGTAGGTACGGATAGACGTAATGTTATTGTTAAGTATTATTTTCATTACTATTTTTTGTACTATTATTACTATTTATTACTATTCCACATTTATGGTGTTAACATAATTTAACACTTCATGCTCAATTTCCAAAATCTTTCTGCGAAAAATTCTCATTTCTGAATTTGCAGTTAAAAATAAATTTTCTTAATTCCTGCAAAATGTAATTAAGTGTGGTCCAATCCAAATTGTCTTATCAAAGATTTTAATTCCATTCATTTTTACATAGTTTAATACTTGTGACTTAAATTTTGCAATATAACTGTGGTTATTCTTATATACCACTACTTCAAAAAAAGTTAGCAAATACGATGACTCATGTAAACTTAAAATGAAGTTTTCGTAAATACTACACTAACTTCAACACTTCAAATGATCAATTCCTAAAGTTCTTAACCATAAAAATAATGCAGGAATTTTGTAGAATATATTAACAGTGCACACTGTATCCTCTTGTGACTAATGACTAGAGATGAACCCATGGGAAAATGACAGTAAGATAATACTCAATCCTTGCAATTGCTTTGTGGTTCTGGATGCAGGAAAGACTCCTATAAAGTATAAAGACTTCTTATACTTCTAATCTTCACAAGTACATCTTGAAAACAATTTCCAGAGAGTCTGCATTTTCTGTGCTCATTTTATTTTTTCTACTTTACTGAAAAGTTTACCGTTTCTGCTATCTTACAGAATATGCCATTCTGTGGAATATGTTATTCTGCTATTGTTTGTTTCAATAACCAGATGTATTTGAATAGAATAGGTTTATTTATTTATTTATTTATTTATTTCTAAAATACCTAGTTTGTTATATATTTTCTTTCCTAAGCATGATTGCCCTATGCATCTTTATGAGAAAGGAAGATAATAAATGACATTGTCCAGGATTTTAAAGATTGAAAGATTGGCTCTGAAATGACAGTGCATAAATTCTAATCTGAGAAATTCCACAAATTGGTCATTCTACTATGAAATGGAAAGAAATACAAAATTTCTAAAGAATATGCTAAAAAAACTAAAATGATATATGAGGAGGAAACATATGCAAACAAATACAATATTTACTGAGGCTATTATTACTAGTGGTAAAAATGCAGTATTTTACCAAATTACTATTACCAAGGGTAATCATCCATTAGATATAAGTCAGGAATTTGCTATTAGCAATGGGGATTTAGAAACAATCAAATTTTATAAATAGCAGCACCTAATAATTATTACTATTATTACTGATAACTTCAAACCTATCAAATTTTAGAGTGAATTTTAAAATGATTTCAGGAAGCTAAAAAATTAATGCCATGGAAAATTTGATAGGTAACATTTATTGTCTTTTCACAAAAAATCAAAATAGCAATAAAATAAGTTTTTGATAAGAATATGATACTTGCTGATTATCTGTAAAAGTATTCATGAGATAATGCCCTATGTTTCCAATTTAGGCAACCCATCACATCGTCAGAATGTATTGAGGTAATCCAGTTATGCATCTGCATGCAGCAAGGATCATTAGTGTTTGTGCTGCATTGAGTGATTTTTTTGTTTGTGTGTGGATAAGGAACTGTCATGGGACTGTGGAGTTTGCCGGCTGATAAAAATAAGGTGTTGCATTTCTTTAAAAATATAGCACTTTGCCTAATGGCAAAAGAATGCAAAAATTCGCATTCCATAAAGTTATACTTTGTAAAATGTTGAATTTTATGGATCAAAATTTTTGCAGTTTTTTTGAAGCAAAAACAGATCACTGTGTACATGGGAAAGCAACAGTATGTGCAATGGCAAATTTGTGCAATTCTCTGACATTTTTTAAGCAAAAACAGATCACTGTGTATATGAGAAGGACAACAGTGTGTGCAGTGCCAAGTCATGTTCGATGCCGAGTTTCTGCAATTTTCTATGCTTTTTGAAGCTAAACCAAATTGCTGTGTACATGGAGAGAACAGCACAAAAGCAAAATACATAAGTGCTTTATTATGGATGATTTTTTGCATTTTCTATTTTGTTTTTGGTTGCTATTTTACGTAATTCTTAATATACCACCATTTGAAACTGGCTGTTGTCTTTTGCATCTTAGCTTGGTAAACAATTAATCAATGACAGGTGGCAATTTTTTGAGAGGATGAAATGCAGATAATCAAAAAGTATCAAAATTACTATATTTGGAACTTTTCTTTTTATATATATTTATACACATCAGTTATTATTCTACTTTTAGCCTTTCTAAGATGAAAATGTTCTAAAATGCATTATAAATGGTCTCTTTAATTTATACAGATAAGGCATGAAAATGCTTCATTAAATTAAAAAAAAATAAACAATATTCATCTAAAAATACATTAAAAAAATCACTACTTTTCTATTCACAATGCATTCTTTACCACTACAATAAATTCCTTAAAATGAATATATTTAAAATAATGCTGTAGAAAAAATTCGCATAGTAGAGCACTTAATACAACGATCTTTCCTCTCTATTATTCAGATAAGAATAAGCATTATTCTTATATTCAGAATTTTTATAGCACATCACCGTTAATAAAATTAAATTCTAATGGTATCCCCTTAATTCTCCCTCTCTATTCTAAAAATCATATCTTTTCTAGATGCGTCATCTCTAGATCAATCCATCTTGCACGACCTGCACAACACCGATGATATAGGTAATTCGCATCCTAAACTCAAAATTGTGAGAACTAAAAATTTTCTGACCTGAACAAAAACCTTTCTCTTAGTAACCTTCTATATTGGATAAATATACACTTTTAGCTTGAACCTCTTTGCTGCTTGGATACAATTCCACTGTGCTCTCTGCCTATCGCAATAGTATTCAAAAATGTAAATGTTTTGGAAATAGGCATGATTAAAGTGCCAAGTGAATTGTGGTCACAAATGTCAATTTAAATAAAAATAGAATTTAATCCGCCTCGACTGCCAAGTTTCCTATTCATTATGCATTAGCATTCTACGCAATCTAAATTCTTCCCCTTCAGTACGAATCTAATACTTTCTGAGAATTCTTAATTCTATGCTATCTGCCACCATTATTTCTGCATTTCTACGTCTCAGTGTTTCTACAGTCAGTACTTCTAAACCTGCTTTCATTACATATATATATGCAACATCAAATGCTGAAAGTGCCTATCTTACAATGATGTTGATAGATGCTAGATTATATATGGTAGATCAGTTAGCTTATTATAATATATTATATCCTATATGATTATTATGATATATATGCTTATAACTACATTATTATGATATATTAGCTAGATAGTTAGACTGTACATCAAAATTCCTATAAGAATTTTAATATTAAAATAATTTTCACAGTAAATCTGAATTTATATACATATGCATTTTGGGGAAATCTTCTGAAAATAAGGCCAAAAGTAGTATTTATACTCAAACTTACCCTTTGATTGAGCAGCTGATTTTACTTCTAAATTATATATTTGCTCAACAGTATATAAACAAAATTCGTTACGTAGAGGTTGAAAAAATCTTTCCAACAAAACTGAGGCAATGTAGTTTCAATGAAGGCTGCATGGTATCAAGTCATTTTCACAACGTTCAGCTTCACTTATTTTTCTATAAGAGAAAATTTTTCTGTAATCAAGCACAACTCAGAATACAAATTTAAAACACTAGTAAATAATAATGCCCATCTTTCTTTCAATTTCTATACTTAGAAAAACAGAAGAAAAAAAATCAGCAAATTGTTTGCCTTTTAAATATATTTTCACCGACTTCACAGCAAAATTTGTATTTTTTCAAAATACCAGGTTGTTCAATAAGCTCGTGGAACGGAAATGAAGAAACCAATTTTTATTTGTAAAAATTACTTTATTTTTCAACGTAGTTTCCCTCGACTTCAACATACTTATTCCAACGGTCTTCTATTTTATGGATCTCTTGACTGTAGTGGTTTTTCGGCAGCCTTGCAAAATATCCTCCCACGGCAGCTATTGCCTCTTCGTTTGAAGAAAATCATTTTCCACGGATATGAGGTGTGGGAAGAGCCAGAAGTCGGAGGGAGCTAAATCTGGCGAATAGGCTGGATGTTGCAAAAATTCGTATTTCAATTCAGTTATTTCAGCAATGGTTTTTTTGAGCTGTGTGCGCAGGTGCATTATCTTGGTGGAAAATTATTTTCTTCTTCTGTAATCCGGGTCTTCTTTCACGAATTTTTTCGTCTAATTGATTCAAAAGGTTACAATAATAATCCAAATTAATTGTTTTGCCATTTGAAGGTAATCTATAAACAAAATTCCTTTCACATCCCAAAAAAACTGATGCTAACACCTTAGGAGGATTGGCTGATTTTTGCACACGAAACTCGCTTCGGCGCCAAAGAGCCGGGTTTACACCACTCCCTTAGCCTCCTGGCTAAGCAGTGGTTGTGATTCAGGATCATGATGGTAGACCCAAGTCTCATCCAATTGTGATTAAATCGATGGATAAAGTCGCTTTTATTCTTCTTAAAACGCTCCAAATGTTGCTGGCAAAGTCGCATCCGAATGTGTTTTTGCTCCATCGTTAGAGAATGTGGCACCCATTTTGCACAGAAGTTTTTTGAAACCCAAATTAGCACTCAAAATATTGCTCACTGTGCCCAATGAAATGCCTAAAGCCTCTGTTAAATCTCTTTCAGTCAATCGATGGTCTTCCAATACCATATCTTGTATTTTTCCGATGATTTCCAGTGTTGATGCAGTTTGGAACGTCCTTCTCGCGGATCGTCTTCAAGGCTGGTACGACCACTTTTAAATAAACTAGCCCACTTGCAAACCATTGTTTTTGAAGGAGCAGATTCACCCAACACATTCACCATTTCGGTATGAATTTCCATTGCCTTTAAAACTTTCTTTACAAAGAATTTGATAACTGCACGTTGCTCAATTTTATCCATACCTGAAAAAAGGCACAACACGTTAGATATAAAGGGCGATTAAACAATGAATAAATTAACAGATTGAAATGAAACTTTTGACGTGTTCCTAAGAAAGAACAAACATGAAAATGGCGTCGAAGTTTTAGGTCTAATATTGACGAATAGATGACGTTCCGTGAACTTATTGAACAACCTGGTAGTACCTCATCAGGAATATAATTGCCACTCTACCAAATAACTCTGTCTGCTCAGACACATTCAGTAGATTATCAACATATATGATGGGGGAACCTCTGACTATATAGAATGTTCAAATGATTTTTCATTGCTTTGTACCTAACAAAGTTATGCGTATCTGCTTACCCTACTCTGATATCCCGTTTCATGAATATATAATTTTTTAATATTTAGGGAAAGGATCTCCCTTATGGATCACATTCCTCTAATATATTTTTGCAAATAAACTAGCCTGAACTGTGCAAGCATATTCGATCTCATACTCTCTTAGACAAAGCTATAAAATGAAAGAGTATGGTAAAAAATATAGACAGCAAAACAGCTTATAATTAACATAATGGAAAGGAGGATTGCCAATAAATGAGTATATACTGCTTTATACAAATCACAATTTTGTATATTTAAGAGAAATTCTCAAAAATAATATTGAAAAATCAATAAAGAAAAAACATTTCCCTTGACGGGTTTTGGCTTATAGTAGCTATGCTCTTTTACTGTCTCTGATGCTCACCAATTTATTTTGTAACATCTAATTTTTGAAGTAACCAGATATATTATAATAAAGTTGTAAGAATGTCAGATATGGATTTCTACCATATTTTTAAAGCAGAATCTGCAAAAGAATTTAATAACTATACTTTTATAGCTACATGGACTTCCAGAAAATCAGCATTTTGGCATTTTACAGCAGTTTGGAACATCATATACAGTGGAGCTACGTTAGCCATGAAAATGTCGACTGATATTACTTCAAATGACACAGATGAATGTGATATCTGCAGAGGTTTCAGATTAAATATTACAGATATAAAATATTTTACTAACTTCTATGATAGAATGTTAAGCATTTATTTTATGCAGCATTTCAGGATTTCTTAACCAGTGTATTAAATACTTTTTTTATTTCAAACATATATTTTACAGCATTCAGAAAGGTACATTATATACATGTTAAGCCTCTACTATATATTTAACATGAAGACATCAAAGTATTGTGTTTAAAGATATGCTAAACTGTGAACATCTGCACGAATGCTTACTTGAATATTTACTCAAAAAGGGAGTTACCAACAAAAATATTAAGTGTTTTTGATAAATGTTTGGAGTTACTGTATGCTGGAAAATGAAACCTAATCTCATTCCTAATTTCCAAATACTTTGTATAAAATTTTCTTGTAGTATATCAATATATTTCTCTCCATTTATAATGTTTAGTAAACATCAAATTTCCAACCCTTTTCTCAACAGGCTGAGAAAATACAGAAGAGCCTCCATCTTTCACTGTTAGTACATGTATGTAAATGAAAATAAATAAATGTGTTGTATTCAGCTGTTTAAGAAATCTTCTATGAAACATAATAGTGGCCATTACTTAATATATATATATATATATATATATATATATTTTAATTTAAAAATAAAAATAAAAAGGATATAGAAAGAAAAACTGACGTCATTTTCGGCACTGAAAATAAAACTGGTCCCGAAATCTTGAGTCATTGCAAAGATATTTAACATTTCTCTTAATTCTAATGGTTTAAAAAACGTCTTCTTTATTTTACAGAATTACTACGAAAAGCCTTTCAAAGAATTGTGCAGACAGTTTCATTTAAGAAAGATGTCTTCATTATTGATGACATTTTCTCAACAATTTCTGACACATTAGTTTTAAAATTTTTCTTTCATACAATGAATTACGAAGATTGCTATTTATATTTCCAACCTTGGCAACAGTAAGTGTTTGAGGTACGTGCGAGTAACACATGCCTCACAAACTGAACTAGACTGAACTCCGACTGACTGTCAGCCAGTAGGGTTGCCATACAGGTTTACTTTCTTTGTTTACTGTTTTGCCAATTGGCGGTTTTCTCTAGAGTTTTTGAGTCTGTATTGCCTGTGCCGGTGCTGCATGTTGCTAGGTGACCACAGACAATTCCAATCAAAAGTTTGCTTCATAGATAGCTTCTTCTTCATTCAATCATAATTCATCTCAGGCAGAAAATGGAATTGACTCGTGAACATTTTGGTGTGATTATTTTTCACAACTTTTGACATGGATTATCAAGACAAGAGTGCTTTGATTAACTTAATTCTTTACACAGTGATAAAGCACCAACCTACAGCACTAAAAAAAAAAACTCACATAAAAAACTCAATCATGGTAGATATTCACTCCAGGACGAATTCTGTGAAGGTCGTCCATAATCGGTTCTTGTGCTAGAAAATATCGATGTCGTCATGAACTGATAAGGCAAGATCGTCATGTGACATATTGTGAGATTGAGACATCTTTGGGTATTAGTATGAAAAGCATCAATAAGATATTACATAAAATATTTGGCTGTAAAAAAGATTTGTTCACATTGGATCCCCCATAATCTGATAAATGCTCAAGAGAAGGCTTGTGCCGATTGGTGCAAGGAAATGTTGGAAGAATATTCACAAGGCGCATCAAAGACTGTGTCTATCATATAGGTGATGACTCGTGGATTTATGCATATGAGCCTGAAACAAAACAGCAGTCGACTGTATGCGTCTTCCAAGATGAGCCAAATCCAACAAGCGTTGTTCGCGGGAGAAGCACATTGAGGCAAATGGTTGCCTATTTCTTCAGCATTACTGGTCACGTGGCGACAGTGGTGTTAGAGCAACACAAAATTCATATAATATAACAAATATAAAAGGTGGTCCTTTGAATTTATTTTCAGGGAGGGGTAGGGATTGAAGGGGCATAAAATTTTGCTGTCACTTTAACAAAATACATAGATGCATACCTTAAAATAAAAAATAATAAAAAAAATGGAAGACTTTTTGCGAGAAAACCCAGAGAAACCAGGAGGTTTGCGAGGCGATACCAGTTCAAAGGAACTCCAAATCGATTTTGATTCACTTTATAATACTTTAGATTATTCAAGTATTTGTAATTTTATATAAATTATATCAGCATTTAACTAGATATGCTACATTTCATGTTTTTTGGCTAATTTAATTTTTTAATTTTCTTACACTTTTACACTCAGAAACTCCCAAGTAATGAGGGAATTTAAATATGATGGATATAAAAATAATAATTAATGTGCATAGTATTTGTGTGGATAAACATAGTAATATACCATATATAGAAACAAAAAAAAATTAAATGCAAATATTAACTGATTACACATAGCCTGAATCTTCAAATTAAAATATACCAATATATACACTAGATTAAAGCAACTCAGAACAAATAATATTTAAGAAAAAATTTAAAACTGGAAGCTTCAGTGATCTACTAGGAGATGTAATAAAAAAGTGGGAAAGTCATGGCAAAACCAAGAGAGTTGGCAGCTATGAAAATATCAGTAGAAACAATGCCCTCCTACTGTTCTGTTCCATATATATATATAACACTGCTGCTTCAATGGCCTCTAGCTGTCTTTGTGAAGAGTCTCACTGAATTTTATATGCACTTAACCCTTCTGAGATGGTGAAACCTTTGTTTAAGACTCTCCCTTGCAACGGATTGCAGTCAAAGAGAATTGCCCCACAGGACGGAGCTTTCGCGTTTGCTAAATCTAACTTTGAAGAAAAATTTTGAAAAAAAAATGTCTTAAAGTCATACCATTTTGGCACCATTTTAGACTATTACTTATGCTATCATATACATCAAAATTAACATTTAATCATCTTTTTTCTTTATGTTACATGAAAATATATAAAAAAAAATTGCTTACTTTAAGGAATAATTTTCGGAAGTGCTACTTGAATTATTCCGAAGTTTTAATTGACAAAATACATTAATTAAAAAATACAAGATTATTTACAAGAAGTAACAAAATTTTACACAAAAAGTGTAAAGCAGTCAGTTCAGTCTCTTACAAAATGTCTGTATCAGAATCAGTAGAAATCTTACTCCAGAAAACAAATCATCACACTTATCCATGTCACTAATTGGCTCATTTACCCTGCAAGTATATCCTTTCTCTGAAAAATAACATTTTCTTAGCATAATAAACTGGAATCATGGCTTTCTGAAATAAAATAGGAAGTACACATTATATATCTGAAAGCAATGCAAAGCGTAACAGAATCCTACATAGTAACCCTAAAAAACCTTACATAGTAGTGAAAAAAAGATTTTGAGGAATATCATAAACATTAATGTTTACATTATGCTTTCTCCCTCCCCCCGGTAACAGCTGACACTATAAGGCCTAATGTTTTCAGACTGAAGGTCATTATCCTAAAACTATGTTCAATTCAAATGTAATTAGGACAAAGGACACCACCTAGTGGTCTTTAAAAAATGTGTCTGCTTAATGCACATAGGCGTCACCTATCCCTTAAGGCCATTCTCCAGTGACACAGGGGTGGGATGCCCATCCAGAAAGGGTTAAAAGGATCAGGCCAAAACTCTTTTGGATTGTCAGAAAAATAGTATATTAGATTTAAAGGTTTGCCTCTGAAAATACAGAAACTTGGTAAATCCCATTTTGATTAGTTACATTTCCATACATGTATAGCACACATAAATCTACACTCATCCTTTTTTAAATTAAAAAATGTTTATATCTGATAATCTTTTAAATTTATTTAACCAAGCACTGAATTTTTAAAATACTAAATTTAGTTAAAAACACACAGAAATATTAAAGTATTAATTTTGAATAATTAAAAGTAACCCAATTACTTAAAAGAGGATGAGAGAATGTATACCACAATATTACAATTTAATTAAGAACATATATTTTACCATTTCTAATTTAAAGAAAAACACAGTGGTTAAAACAACAAACCTGCACATTAACAGCTTTTCATCAGCACTGCTATCAATAGTCTTCAGATTATGTTTTTCATATAAACATGACAAAAACTGATATTTATGTTTATCAATACAAATATCTGTAAGTTGGTTATCTGTAAATAAAAAAAAAAAAAAATTACATATTGATGAGCTTAAAATTAAACACAACTGAAGTGAACATCATTCAAACAAAAAAATATAACAGTCAAGGGGCCTTTCTAATTAAGTACTTACCTAGTTCAAACTCTTGTCTCTCATGCCCTCACTGTTACCTTAAAGCTATGCTGCAACCTGTAGCTTAAATTAATTGTAGGAGCACAAACACATCAGCAAGTAAAACTTTATTCGGTAAATGCATACTTACAGGTACCCCTTTGGTAAAAATTTCTGATTTTTGGTGGTACATGGATACCAAGCTTGTACAATTATTCTTTGACTTGTTATTTTGACTTTGTGTAGCAGCGATTTTAGCTACGAAAATCGCCGCTAACAAAATAACAAGTCAAAGAATTGCACAAACTCGGTATCCTTGTACACATTGACCTATTTTCAATTTTAAAAAAATCACAGAATTGCACAAACTAGGCTATTGTGCACTCCCTTTATCCATGTACACGTCGACCCATTTTCACTTTAAAAAACATCAGAGAATTGCATAAACTTGGCACGGCGCACTCCCTTGACTTTGTCCATGTACACATCGATATATTTTCACAAGTCAAAGGAGAACACAATTCTGGGTAAAAATATATTTATGGAACAGTCAATTACTCAGGTCACTATAAACGAAACAACAACTTGGCGATAAACGACAAAACAACAACTTGATGATAAATAAAATAGCAACTCCGTGATAATACAAGGGGTATCCTTCAGCAGTTCACTACCTGTAAGTGTCTTACAAACTAAATAAATAAATAAGTCTTCTTGACTTTACAGCCATTAACTGGAACTTACAATTCAGTTAGGTACATCATAAGTACTTCTAAAGCAAGGGTTTTAACACCTTTAGATCAGACAACCTAATCTAAATCTACCAACAGTTTTCTAGATGTTAAGGCAAGCATAGCAGCCATTACACAGCCAACATCTTTTTGCTACAAGTCATACGGTTATGATTCTTTCGCTCACTTTATACTATGCCACTTTGCAAACAGATGCGCATAAATCTTTGCACTAAACAAGTACATGATGAAATGAGACACAAAGAAAGAAGCAAACTGAATTTTTTAACTATTAGTAAACTCAAATGAAATGTCATACTATGATTCCAAAAATGATAAAGTGCATGAGATAGCTCTTATAGTATTTTTTCAACAGCATCTAAAATGGGTCCTTATTTTAAAAAAATAAGTGACACATATCTGTTAGCTCACACTTCTGATTTACTTGGGAAGTACTTGCATTAACAGTGCCAAATATTTTTGTTAGCAACAGTTTGTGATTAAGTATTCGATAAGTTTTCCCAGTTACATTTCCCATTATCAAAATTATGGATTCATGTGAATTTGAAAAGCTATGAAAAACAGAAGCTGTTTGCTTTTATCCAGATTAAGATGAAAAAAAAAAAAATTATTCCCATATAATCACCTACAAAAATATGCAGTGAAAGTGAAAATAAAGGATGAGAACTGATTTAAAGGAAGCAAACTGCATTTATGCTTTGAGGTTAAACACAGTTACAATAGGAAACTACTTACATGTTACTAAGTGCACCATCAAATTCACACATATCACTAGAACCACCCACATTAAATCTCCACCACCTGACTACGGGACAGCAAGAAAAAATTCGCTAAGTGGTAAGTGAATTTGCTTCTTTATTTAGTGATATTCCCGGATTTACTCAAGTTACGAACCATGAAATCGACACAGGAGATTCACTGCCATTTCGCCACAAGCCGTATCGATATGATAAGAGTAAAGAAAAAATTATAGAGCGGCACATTCGCGATATGTTAAGTAAAAAGATCCTAACGCCCATCTCAAATAGTTATTCCAGCCCGGTTGTGTTATGTAAGAAAAATAATGATTATCCAGTTACACATCCAAAAAGGTGGAGATTTCGCAATTGACTATCGTAAATTAAACACCATTACTAAATATCCGGTATATCTGTTACCTATTATTGAAGAAAATTTAAGGAACATAACTTCTACGAAATACATGACTACGTTAGATCTGACGACGGATTATTTTCAAATAGGTGTAAAACCAGAAGATGTGCTTAAGACTGCTCTTATAACCAAGTCTGGCACGTATGAATTCTTGTGTATGCCGTTTGGCCTTTCAGGGGCACCGGCAATATTTCAACGATTCATGGACATTGTGCTAAAGCCTGTTCTAGGAAAGAACACATTTATATATTTAGAAGATATCATTATTACTAGTGATAATTTGGATCAACATATAAAGGATTTGAGAGAGGTGTTTTCATTATTAAATGAGGCCGGTCTAAAAGTTAATGTCGAAAAGTGCAAATTTGCAGCCCCTGAATTAAAATACTTAGGGTTACAAAATATCTCAGAAAGGAATCGAGACGGACGAATCAAAAATAATCGCTTGAAAAGTATCCGCCGCCAAATACGGCGAAGAAGCTCTCTTTCTTTTCTAGGACTTTGTTCATATTATAGGTCCTTTATAAAAGATTTTGCAACTATTGCTGAAACATTGTTAAAATTAAAAAGGAAAAAGGCAAGATTCTCGTGGACGGCCGAAGCCAATAGTGCTTTCGAAAAATTAAAACAAGCATTAACGCAAGCCCCTGTTTTGAAATTTCCTGAGAACGGATGAGAATTTAGAAATTTCAGCGGATGCTTCGGATTATGCGGTAGGAGCGTACTTTCCCAAAATCAGCAGCCCGTGGCATTTTTAGTAGCCGAACTTTAAATCAAACACAAAGAAATTATTCCGCGACTAAGAGAGAGGCACTTGCAGTTCTGTTAGCAGTGCAAAAGTTCCGAGTCTATTTTGGGAAGGCGCCAGTAACAGTGTATTCTGATCATGCGGCGGTAACTAGATTATACTCAGGGAAAAACTTATCCCCAAGGTTAATAAGATGGGCACTCAAGCTACAGGAATATAATCTGGTAATCAAGCATACCCCCGGAAAGGAAAATATCGTAGCAGATGCCCTATCCAGAATAAAAATAGATGAAGAAGGTATATACTGTAAAAGGTGCAATGCTCACAGCATGTACGATAAATTCCCGAGAAACTGTAATAACCGAACTGGGTAAGGATCCTGAATTTAAAAATATTTATGATTATTTAAAGGATCCTGAAAATTTTAGCCACCAAGATATTGTGGCGATAAGAAATAGGGCGGCCCATTACGAACTAATAGATGGTCTATTATTTTATACAAAAACTACGAATTCCAACAACGAATTTCGACCTGTTATCCTAGCTAGTCTTAGATTAAATATACTGCAGGATTTGCATGATTCGCCTTTGGCATCTCATGGTGGTATTTGAAAAATCATATAACGCGTACGCGTAGCAGTTTATTTTTCCTGAGCTGCGAAAGTTAACAAGGGCGTATGTCCAGTCCTGCCCAACATGTCAAGCAGTTAATTATGTTAATTATGTTAATTTCTGCCCGGCCGGGTTTCTAAATAGCATTAAATCAGAGTTTCCAAATGAAATAATTGGCATCGATTTATTGGGCCTTTCCCGAAAAGTCAGTTAAATAAAAGTCGCCATCTCCTTGTTATGGTTGACCATTTTAGTAAGTGGACCGAAATTGTTTCCCTTAAAACGAGCCTCTGCGAAATTAGTTACTGATTCTATTTTAAATAAATATATTTTAAAATACGGGGCGCCCCTAAAAGTTATATCGGATAATGGTCCTCAATTTGTAAGTAATATATTTTGAAGACATGTGCCAAAAACTGGGCATACGTCATTTAAAAATGGTCCCGTATCGGCCGCAATCAAATATAGCGGAATTAGGGGTCAATAAGAAATATAGTGAAAATTATCCGTTACAGTTATGTTAAAAATTTTCATAAAAGCTGGGATAACTATGTCAATGAATTAGCTTTCGCCCTTAGGACCGCAAAACATGACACGAAGGGTAAAACTTCCTGCTGAGTTATTTTTAGGCAGGAAAGATTATAACGCCGTTAGATAAATTATTTTATTTTCAAAAAAAAAAGAGTCCCCAGAATTTCAAAATGGGCGATATAAAAAAAACTAATTAAAGAAGCAAAAAGAACCTGAAGTAGCACAAAGAAAAAAAGAAGTTGTATTATGACATTGAAACGACGGGGAGTAACTTATAAAGTAGGGGATGAAGTTTTAAAAATTAAGCATTCACTTTCTTCAGCACCAGAAGATAAAATTACAGAGTTCTATCCACGATTTGAAGGACCTTATGTAATAGAGAAAGGTAACTCAGGCTGTAGTGGTGTTAAAAGCCATGAATGGTGAAACCTGCACCGCAAACATTGACCAGATCAAACCATTCTATAATCGTAATAAAATGCAAATATTTAAATATATTTTGAAGGATCCGGCACGGCAGGCACATTCTTCAGAGGTGGCACAACAACAATCACAAGGGCCAGCCATGAGTAGAGAGGTCTATACGAAAAGAAAGTTCCCCCGTTGGAATACTGAAGGTAACAAGAAATAGAAGCCGTTCCACCGACCAGAAAAGAGAGGGCACGACCACCCCCAACACGAAGAAGGGAAAAGTTCTACTAATGCAAAGAGAGCCAGAAGAAATGGCAGCAACCATAAGGCTGCTCCAAACCGAACGATGTACCCATCGGATAGGAATCTACGCAGCAATGTCGACGAATCGACCCAGGAAAATCAGCTGCAGATGCAAGGAAGCAACAAACGTTTGAACAGCCAGCAACTAGATCCAGGCAACAACGGGAGAGAGTTGGCCCGATTCCGCCAAGAACAGCTGCCATCAAGAGTCCGGGAGTACAATCAGATGTTAAAAAGAAGTTCTTCAAGGGTCATCAAACAGGAAAAAAAGAAAGCTCACTGAGGAAGGAACTGGAGGGCGAACCCGCACAAGACGCAGGATAAACCAGACTGTAATCTTCGCTAATTTCCAAGACTGGGCGGCAAAACGGATGTCGGAATATCACAAAGGTAAGTAAAACTTTATGTTATTTTGAAACTTTAAATTAATTTTTCGTTCTTACTGCAAGTGGCAGAATTTAAGAAGTTTTACCTCATGTGAGGCATACCTTTATCGCCAAAAAGGCGAGAAATGAGTTTTACCTATTTTGTTACTATGTTTTTCAATTACTCGCGAGTAAAACTAAAATTATTGCATAATAGGAATGTGTAAATACTTGAGTATTGTAAAAGCTTTGGTAATCTATGAGAAAGGTACCTTAAGAAAACTGTAAAATTATTGTATAAAATTTTATTTAAAAAAAATTCTGTCAAGAAAAGAAATTTTAGTCTGAAGGACTTTTGAAATGTAGTATTTAAATGTAAAAGAATTACTACCACTGCAGTTTTTGAAGAAATAGAAGTTAACAAGAAATAGAAGTTAACAAGTTTGCACCATATGGCGCTGTGTACTACTAATGTATGTTTTAAAATGTGTAAAATTAACGGCATGTTAATATGTCCTTATGTACAATGTGAACTGTTATCTTAAAAGTTAAGAAGTACTGTGATATGTTAGAAATAAAAATGTTGCACTAATCCCAAAATTTTAACTTATTGATATAACTGAAAAAAGAGCGCAGTATGGTGAATATGTGCTAAAGGTTGAATGAACGTAGTTAGGCTCTCTGACGCTACACTTCAGAGTTAGCCACTTTTTGAGAATAGTACCTCAGGGTTCAGAAATGAATATAAGGTGTATTCTGAGGTCTTGTTATGTTGAATTTTAACACGTTAGTGTTTTTATTGCAGGTGGTAGTGTTGAACACTTGTACATAGACACGCACGTGTTTGGTGTTTTTCTTTACAACACATGCCAGAGAACACAGGGAGATAATTAAATAATGGCATGAATGAAGAAAGAATAGTTTTAAAAGAAAGATATATGTGTTCATGTTACTTGCCATTTGATTGTTTAACATTTCATTAAACTAGTTTTCCTTCCAGATATCTGGAAGGAA